AAAAAAAAAAAAAAAAAAAAAAAAAAAAAAAAAGATGACTGTTCTAAGTAGTACGATTCCTTAAAGTAAGACCAAGTCTTTAAAAAACCCTACACACCTGCAATTTAATACCAACCCTCTTCTCCGAGCTCCCTTTATCTAAATGCTAAAATTTTAAAAATTAAGGTTTTTCTTTCAAAATCCAGGCACTTCTATCCCAAGTTTTTCAAACAGTACCTCTGAAAAGCACTACAATGAGAGTTTCAAAAAAAAAATGAAGTCTTAATCTCAAAAAAAGGCTTCTAAACCTAGGAGAAAACTATAATCGTTTTCCTAACATTCTAAATTTCTTTGAAAATAAATTTTGTAATCCACTACGCGTTTGCCGTTCCGTTTCAAAAACAAAATTCCAAATTATTTTTTCGTTACAAAAAATAATGGACAGCATAAGCTTTGACTCCCGGTGAATAAAATGGTACAGCGCAAATTAGGATTCTTCTAAGCAAGCATAAACCTAACCAATGACCAATCAATAAGATAAACATCGCTCAAACTCCTCAACCAATTCCGAGTAGTTAACTAAACCGCTGAGACACCATCTCAATCAAAAACATCTCTATTGAAACAACTGGACTTCCATTAACTGGAGTGAATATTCCTAATTTCATCGTGTGAAGTTTTTTTGATAAACTACATTCAAGTATGCTCTCTTCATAGCCGAACAGTGAAGAAATGAATTTGGAAAATTAACTGCAACGTAACTCAGGCGTTCAGTCATACATAAAATTCCGAATAAAAACCTATGACGATCTCCATTATATCCACCGCCAAAAAAAATGAAGGTACTTTCAACGTCCTCAAGTTTACTGTAGTTATGAAGGAAATCTACACGTAAGCTCATCAACTGCCATAGATAACCCCTCAATCCCACTCTGCAAAATTCGAGCAACACTTTTTACAGCCTCCAGCGACACTACGTAACTGGCATTTTAAAAAGAAAACAGAACACCAAGTGGCGAAATGAAAACCGTTCTTAAGCTTTTTACGAGTTGGTTTAAAAGGAACAATCTTCTATAAAGAAAAGAATCAGAAGTACGAGCTCAACGGCCAGTAAGTACATAAATCAATACCCAAAGAGCTCCTTCTGTTTAATTAGTACTAAGCAAAATAAATTCCAGTGCTCCATAACAAAATTAGTAATTAACCCTCATAACATTGCGGGGCCTATCAACAGCAAAAATATTTCCGTTTAGAAAGTTATTTATCCCCAACAGTAAATCAATGTCTGAAATATAAAAATGCATCTTACATTATCATCCACACACGAAGAACTAGAGGTCGACGGTTCGTCCAAACATTTGTGCTGCGCTTTCATGCTATTAAATAATCCCTCGTCTTCTTGTCTATGAAGTACTGCAAATTCATCGACCTTAGCAGATTAGGGCACATTGCAGTGCATCACAACCATCAAAGACGTTTTAGTACTGAAAAATAATCTACATGAAAAGGAACACTGGGAGGACAAGTGGGGGGAAAAAAAAAGAGAGCGTCAAGCACTTCAGCATTCAATCATATTTAATATATATGCTGAAAAAAGAATTATATACTTTTTTAAAAAATAATGTTGACGACTTAAGTCAATGTGTCATATTAGGTTACTTTTAACATAACAATGGCAACTAATGATAAAAATGAGGCGGTTATGGCAGACAAAATAAACTAATGAGGAAGAAAAAAACAAAAAGAACTAGAAAAAGAAGAAGAATGTTATATGAAAAAAAACCGCCTGCCATTCCAAATCAAATTTTTGAACTGCAACCAGTTCCAGGTGCAACTAGTTGCGAGCCAGTAAAAAGCTTGAATCAGGCGAACGATCACTATATTCTTAACACAATATTTTTCGGATAAAAATACATTGACAAAAATTTGGAACATATCAACAACAAATTTTACTGTTAAAAACGAACTCCTTCGTATAACAATTCAGTCTCAAAATGTTTAGCTGAAAAGAAA